TGTGTGGCAACCTCTTCCCTAAAACAAGTTATCTGCTGAAGAAAATGAAAACCCTGGCTCGAAGGTTTTGCAAATTTCTATCAGCAGACCATGGTTTGATTCTGGAATCTTCAGTTGGCTTGGAAACTGTAAACATAGCATGTGGCAAGCTTCCCATTTACAACTCTCTAGGCGCAGGGACAGGCCCTCTGACTGCCCATGAGGGATAGAGGAAGCAGATGGCAGGTAGAGTTGGCTCTCATCACTCAGAAGGGCAGTGGCCGCAGGACGAAGTCTCTCCTTGACAGATTTGATTTAGCTGCTGAGGATAGCACTGGAAACCCAGGAAACAAAGAGGCTCGGCTGAAATGCGACCGAGGGTGTTGTCCAGAGACATACCTACTGTGTTCACAGTTTTGTTTTGATGGTGGTATTTTTTCAGTTTTCTGTGTGACTTTGTCACATAGTCTCAACCGTTTGATCAGTTAGCCAAGGGTCCCCCAAACAAGAACTCTTTTGATATTGATTTTAAGCTGGATTTACTGCTCAACACACACACACACACACACACACACACACACGACAAATATGCTCCAGCAGTGCCCTTCACCCTCAGTTAATCAGAAATGCTGCATTTTCATGCATATTACTGAGCAAGATTAATACGGCCCACATTTCTACTTCTGGTTAAATAGTACATAAAACAATCCCAATGGACACTATGTTAAGGCAGCTAAGTATCAGTCATAGCTGGAGAGGTGATAGGAAGAATAATACTCCAAAGCAATTCAGTTGGCTCTTTTCTGTCTTTGTCACCAAGTTCGATGTTTGGCTATGTGTAGTTGATACGAAAGGCAACTGCTTCCTCTCCAAAAGATTTATAGATGGTCTGAACTAAACAGCATGTCCTTTGTTTATAAAACAGTCATTCTGACACCTAGAAAATGAGTGGCGACATTTGGATGAAGTGAGCAGTTCAGTAATGCTCTACTTAACAAGTGTAAACTGAATAACAGAAATAAGATAGGGATTTGGGCTCCCCATATGGAAATGGGCTCTTTGTCAAGCACTCGCCACTGTACCTAGTACCTTGGGGGAACACGTAGCAGAAACTCTTTCTCAGAGTTTTTTGTCTCTTAAATGAACTTTCCTTCCAGGGTCATGCATACACGCTGCTCATTCCCTAGTAGGTCCTGGTTCATGTGCCAATGTGATTCTCCCGAGGGATGTATCTACTGCCAGGTTTGGGAAGGGAATCAACCCTGTTCCCTAACTCATACTGGAGGCTTTCGGGATGGGCTACAGGCAGGGCTTCGTGGGCATGTGACATGGAAGTGTTTCCTCTATGACTGATTATTCATGGGAGGGGGTCACACACTCCTTCTGAACCAGAACTTGCTTTGAATGCAGAAACAAAGCAATTGTGCCCCGAGAAACATGAATGACCAAGAAATTCTCCTGTATCCTTTCTTAGCTTCATTACGTCCCTATAGTAGCCAACCACTTATTCTGCAAATGATGACATAGAGGAATATTAGGGCTCTCATAGTCTCTTCCCGGTCAACCTTTCCTTACTCGTCAATAAACCGACAGTAGGAAGCATTGGTGAATATGTGCACACAAAGACTGCAATACTGAGTTAGTTCTGCGGGGAGTTTCCACTCTTCCAGTGAGAACAAAATATACATACATGGCATAAGCTAGGAATACAAACTGCATAATTTCAGTGACTCTGTATACTCATTCAATACACCTACATTTGCATACTTGCACTGCACAATGTAAAGAAGAATGGGATATCTGTAGCCATACCACCTTGAACACACCTGATCTCACCCGGTCTCGGAAGCTAAGCATGGTGGTAAGTACTAAGCCTGGTTAGTACTTGGTTGGGAGAAGAATGATAAAATTAACGCTAATAATTTAAAATATCTCCTTACTTAGGATAACATTAAATAGCAAGTTAAAAAATATGATGACAAGTCAAGAGATTGTAGAAGACGAAGACAGTTTTATATTTTCAAACTTTTAAAGGCACGTTTTTCTCCTTTTTGCCATAGGAGTCCCACATTTTCATCTTGCACGGGACCCTCGGGTTGTGCAGTCAGCCCTGGCACCAAGGGTATCCAAGGTACTGCTGGCCTCCTCAGCCCTGGCTTGGGGTGGTGGGCCCTGCATAGCATCCTCACTTACCCCTGGCATCAGGCAGCTTTGCATGGTGCTCCTGGAGGCTGTGCTAAGATGAGTATCTCCAAGATGGGCGTAAGGAGAGAGAGCGGGGCAGCTCGGCTTCCTGGGAACCAACCTGAGCCTTGTATCTCTGCTGGAACCTGGCTCTTGGGCCCATGGCAGGCACCCTGATGGACCTGAACATGCACATAATCCCCCCAAAACACAAGTACACACCCACGCCCTCCGAGTCCTTGGCCTGGGATTCCCCCCAACCCCTGTCCATCCCTGCTTTCTGAAGACAATTTCTCTCCCATTGCCCACTCTCGGCCCGGATGCTGTCTCTGCAGGGGTTCCCCCTCCAGGACCCTTCCTCGCTCCAACTCTCTATCCAGTTCCTTGACAGAACTTCTCCCACTTCACTTGTGTTTCTCAGTGTGTCTGTCCTCTCTGAGAAGCACATGGGCAAAAGCCTGGCCTACCTTGTCCCCCACCATAGCCCCAGCTCCCAGTACCAGACTTGGCACAGATAGTGAGTCCACAATAGCTGCTTGCTTGGTAAATGAAGAAATGCAACCATGCACCCATCATTCTGTTTCCAAAATTCAGGTCTGAGACTTATCTCAATGAAGCAGCAGAGTACAGATACAGGCATGACATAATCAAGTGAGTTTAAACTTTTGGCAAGGAATGTGTGAACCTGAATGTTTATTTAACAAAATGCAAAGGAAATAATTAATTATGAATAGCTTAGGCACACATATTAGTTTTAAAAATTAGTAATTAGTAATTTTTTAAAGAACAAACATATTTTAAAATCTCCCCTTTTTCTTGTTTTTTTCCATTTTCCTTATTTCCTCTTATTATATCCCTCATTTCTGGCCTGAATATTAGCTCTTCTGCAGACAGAATAGAATAGTCCAATGACTGCAAAGTCTTTCCCACTGACTACATCTCTATAAATAATTATGTATAACTGTTAATTTTTTGTTTTAAATAATTTACTTGAATAGCACCGAAATCTCCTCAAGGTATAAGACAAAAAAAATATTTAAAGTTTTTATAATGATCAACGTAATAGGTTTTGCTCCTTTCTTTTTTTCTAATTTCTCTACTAAGCTGTGCACTGAGGTGTGAATATAGCTATTTTATGAGTTACAGTACACAACATTTACTAACACACGTTAGCATTGGTAGCCTTTGCTGGTACCTTGCTGGTAGTCCTGATATGATTGCTTGAAAAGTTTTTAAAGCGATGCTGAATACTTTCCTTCGAACTTTAAAAAAGATTGCTTTTCCTAAATCTGGTTACTCTGATGGTGCTGCATTCATTCTTATTTGAGAAGGCAGCCAACAAAATAATAAAGCAAATGTTTTATAATGAGAAGTTCAATAAGTGGAGAAGGTGACATGAAAAAATCACAATGAACTTAATATATGACAGCATTTTCTTATTTGCAAAATGAGATTTCTTGTTGCTTCAGTTCAGTCTACTTGACTGATGAAGGGATGGCTTGTCCTAGCCCACATGCAGACTGATGCTCAACGGGTCATTCTCATTTCTGCCAAGTAGCTCTTTTTAACAGCATGTGAAATAAAAACTCCGTGCTGAAGGCGGAATTGACACCAGTCATAAGATTAAGTCTAGAGTGCTGTGGAAATCACAGCAAAGAATGCCATCTTCAGAACATGCACCACCAGCCTGGACAAAGCGAAAGAGCACACTGGAGGAAATAATGCTGTCCTGGCCCCTGGGGGAGGGACCAGATGGGACCTAATAGCTCTTTTCTACTACTAATTTCTATGATAATTCTAAGTTGCCACATGGCATATGTATTTTTTTTTTTAATCTAAAGGCAGAGTAGCAGTCAATGAAGTGACCAGGATTTTAATGAAAGGTATTTTTCATGAACTGTATCTATTCACACAGGATACCTCTTACCCTCCCCCACCCCATCCGCTAGCAACACATCACAATTAGATTGGAAAAAGTATATAGAAAGAGGTCAAATGCAATATGTTTTTATCATTATCGCTGCCAATTAGAAACAAAGAGATTCTAAGTCTTATTAGCAGGTCAGATTTTTTTGTAGCAATTTAATGAAGTTACTCACCTTAATTTCTTTTTCTGATAATTTGAGATCATGCTTGGATTTAAGGATTACAGCATGCCAATTAATGTTCAAGTAAAAAAATTATAAAAGTGAAATTTCTTCTGTTGTTAGAAACACAATCAGGAACTAAAGAGAGAAATAGTAATGATTTGGGAAAATTACACAAGAATTTTTAACAATTCCTATTGGCATGTCCAAATGCAAATTCATCCATGCCACCATCCCACCCCATGGCATTTCCCCTTCCTCTGACCTTTCAGAACTCTATTTGCACTTCTTAGGTGGCACTTGCCATATTCTTTGATTTATTAGAGTCATTTCACTTGCTTTGCTTTCTGGCCAACGCTCTGAATGAGACCGCTAGGTTTTGCTCAGCATTCCATCTTATCCACAATGCACCACAGCAAACAGGAAAGACGCAGGATGACCCTAAACTTGAGGAAAAATGCCTGAGATGTGGGCATCTCATAATGGTCATAGCCTCTCAGACACAAACTTAGATGAGTAAATTATGAAAATAAGTTCTTGCTAAGTTTGACACAGCACAAAGTTATTATATTTAATATAAATTAACAAATGGTTTGAAAACCACACAATGTTATTTTCAACAAGACTGAAAAAAATTCTCTTCTGTCTTTCCTCTTCAACTCAGGTTTAATACTCACCTCGCATGAAGAACTGCCAGGAAGCTCAATTCAGGATTGCTTAATGAGTTACACTTTTAAGGCAAAAAGATACAAGCTCTGATAGAGTGGGATGAGGCACTTCACGGCCCTGCTGGCATTGATGCATGTGGCACAGATGAGGCTTGGCAGCAGCTTCCCACTCACAATGGCGCCATCAAAGAGGGGCCCAAAAAATGGAACCTGTTGATACAAAATGGAAAACATTTCACTTCCAAAAACCAGGAAAAGTCAAAACAAAGACTTAAGAATAACTGACTGATGGATGGCTGAGACCTGGAATGAACATGCAGGCTGTCACCCACAGTGTAGATGCTGACCTTGACACAGGTCAAGGGACTTTCAAACCAAGTGAAGCAGGATTGCCCCACAATGCTCCTCTGCTAACAACTCTCCAGAAAAACTTTTAATGACAAATATTCATGGGGTTATTCTTTGTTTTCCTTGTGCCGATATTTGTAGAAATGGCATTGCCTTTTTTAAACGTCCACATCATGTGGTTTATGCGTGGTATACAGGCTTTGCAATATACCACTAGCCTTGCCCCCTCTGAAACCTTGGACCAGGTCCTGCCATGGGTCCTGATGCATATTAACTCTTAAAACAGATGAAGACTGTCCTCGTTAGCAACGACAGGGTCCTACTTACAATCCTTACTCTTCTTGAATGTTTTCTACTCTGCTTCTAAGACACTGCATTATCCTCATTTCCTCCCACATCTTTAATGGTGACTTGACTTTCCCTGGCAGGACTCATGCCTGCCATGTGGGAAATCCACAAAGTTTTTATGCCTGTCTTTTTTGGAGCTTTTTCTTCTCTACCTTCACCGCACCCCCCACCATTAGAATTTCATTAACTCCATCCACTAAAAAGGAGATTGTAAATTCCATGAGATCAAGAACTCTTGATTTCATGTAACTCTTATATTTATTCACTTTTCTCTTGCTTATTCATTTATTTAAAAATTTTTTTATCATGTGATAGATGCTGTTCTATTCACAGCGCAAATAATACACAGCGGTGAATAATAAAAACGTTCTTGATTTCATTTAAATCAGATTTCATTGCAGATTTAAGAGAATAAACAGTACAATCACATAAAATATATGAATGGTAGTAAAAGTGTTAGATGAAAGATAAAACAGGGAAGAACAATAGAAATTTTTGGAGTGGGGCAGAGGGGTATAGTGGGACTCCAATTAGGTTAAATGGCCAGAATGGGCTTTAAGGAGAAGATAGTATTTCACTAAAGATCTAAAGATAGTGAGGGATGCACCAGAAGCTATGGTGACATTGGATACAAGAACATTTCAGGCAGGGGGACAGTGCATGTGTAGGCCTTGTGGTAGGAGTGAAATCAATATTTTTAAGCAATAACCAGGAATCCACAGTGCTGGAGCAACATGAGTGAGAGGAAGACTAGGAGGACATAAAGTCGCACTGGTAACAAGAGGGGCTTTGTAGGAAATTTTAAGAATTTTGAACTTCTCCTCTGAGTAAGGTAACAGCCCTGGGGATATGATCTAATCTACATTTGAAAGGTACTCTTTTGGCTCCTGTGTTGGGGAAACCGCAGAGGAGAATTATGGAGACCAGCTGGGAACCAGAATAATCTAGGCAAGAGATGAAGATGGCTTGGAGCAGAACAGCAGCAGAAGTAGCGAAAGGTGGTGTGTTTCTGAATATACTTTGAAGGTAGAGCTGACAGGATTTGTTGAGGATTACTAATGAGGTGGGAGAGAAAGAGAGGCGTCAAGATTGATGCCATGATTTATGACCTGGCAGTTGGAAGGCTGGAGCTGGCCTTTCCTGAAGTGGAGAAGACTGAGAGGCAGAGAGTCATTAGTGCAGTTTTAGACCTGTTAGGTATCCAGTGGAGACGTATTGAGAGGCAGTTGGATACATCAGGCTGCAAGTCAGGGGAGAGGCCTAGGTGGGAGATGCAAATATAAGTTGTTCATTTAGAGATGGTGTTTCTAGACAGAGGTCAGATGACAACACCAAAAGAGCAAGAGAAGAGGCTCAAGAACTACACCCTCTAACCCTCTAATGTTTAGAGGTTGGAGACAGGGTAAGTAATTAGAAAAGAAGACTGAGAAGGAATAGCTGGAGATGGAGGAGGAAAACCTCCAATGAGCAGTGCTGTACCTCGCGCAATGTTGGAGTGCAAACACCTGCTAAATAAGTGACATTAGTTAATATCTTAAATAATTTAAATTAATGAATGTGGTCCTCCAGTCTAGGTCTTTTGACTTCTCTCAAAAACTATTTATTTGTAAAGCACCTTTCCTATGGAGGGCATTGGGGAAGAGGTTTTGAATGAGAGACTGTCTCTGACTAAAAGGGGCTGACATAATAAGAAAACTATGAACAAATATCCATGGCCTAACTAATGCAGCAAAGATGCAAAACCCTTTATAAATCTTTAGCAAATTAAACCCCCCAAACTGTCAAAAAGGACAATATATTGTGACCAAGCAGAACTCAAGATTTAACACTCATTAAACCCATCAGTGCAATTTACCTCATTAACAGAATACAGAAGAAAAATGGTATGACTTTCATAACAGACACAGAGTAAACATTAGATAAAATTTAGCTCTTACTCATAATTTAAAAAAAAGAACAAAAACTCTCAGCAAACTGGAACTAGAAGGAAACTGCTTCAATTCCATGAGTTCTTAAAGAAAAAAAAAAGGAATCATAATTAATGATGAAATACTAAATGTTGTCTACCAAGGAAATAAAAAGGCAAGGGTAGTCTACGCTTACCTCTTCTGCTCAACCTTTCATTGCAATAAGAAAAAATAAGGAGAGAAAGAAGCAAAATTATTTTTATTCATAGATAAGATGGTATTGTACATGAAAAGTCCAAATGAGTTTAACCAGAACAAATAAGTCAATTTTGATACATCTTAGGATACAATATACTCCCCAAATCAATTATATTTCTGAATGTTAGCAACCAACAATTGGAAAATGACATATAAAAATGCTGTTTATAATAGCATTGAAAACCTAGAATTAATTTGACAAAAGATGTCTATATTAGAAATTGCCAAACAGTGTTGGGATAAATTAAAGACAACTTAACATAAATGGAAAGATGTACACTATTCATGGACTGGAAATTTCAATGCTGTTAAGATATTAATTCCTCTAAAATTGAGTTGTAGATTCAATAAAACCCAATTAAAATTCTGGATTTTTAAAAGTAGATATGTCTAGAGTCTATAATACTCAGTCATCTATCACAGAAACAAATAACCGAGTGCCACATGTTCTCTCTCACTCATAAGTAAACCCTGAAAATTTATCCTAATACTATAAGAAAGGCATTGGCAGTAGCGGGACACTGTGGGGGTATGGGGGTGGGTGGTGGTGACACATAACATCAATAAGGGTACCCTAATCTCAAACCAGGCTAAGTGGGGACCAAAGGGAGGCCCAAACTTTACCTGTACGATGACCACTTATATACCTAATCCTGACTTGTACCCCACATCTTTACAATAAAAAAATAGATATGAATTAGCTAATTTGAAGATCATATGGAAATGAAAAAACAAATTAGTCAAGAAAATACTAAGAAGGCTTACAGTACCTGATTTTAAGGCATACTGTAAAACTACAAGAAATCATCAGAGTGGGAGGACAGACAAAAACTTCAATGGAACAGAATATAGAGTACAAGAATAGAACCACACATATATGATAATTGATTTGCAATAAAGGCAGCTTATCTATTAGGTGTGGAAAGAAAGTCTGTTTCAATGAAGACACTAGAACAACTGGACAGCCATATGGAAGAGTGAAACTTGACCTTCACCTCATACCACACACAAAAACTGAGATGGATTATCAACTGAAATATTAAAGCTAATACCATAAAGCTTCTAGAAAAAAACATGAGAAAATCTTCACAACCATAGTATAGACAAGGATTCCTTAGGGTGCAAAAGGCATCAATTATAAAAGAAATAAAATATGTGGGCGCGGTGGCTCAAGTCTGTAATCCCAGCACTTTGGGAGGCCAAGGCAAGAGAATCGCCTGAGTCCAGAGGTTCAAGACCAGCCTGAGAAACTTGGTGAGACCTGATCTCTACAATAAAAATTTTTTAAAAATTAGCCGGGCGTGGTAGCACACATCTGTAGTTTCAGCTACTTAGAAGGCTGAGGTGGAAGGAGTGCCACAGGTCGAGGCTGCGGTGGCTATGAGCGTGCCACTACACTCCAGCCTGGGCAACAGAATGAGAATCCAACTCAAAAAAAGAAAGAAAGAAAGAAAATAAGTTGGATTTTATAAGACTTTTAAACATTCTGTTTATCATGAAAGTGAAAAGGCAAACTATGCATATTCACCCAAGGTCCATCCATAGGAAAATAAATAAAAAATCTGTGTTATATCCACACAATAGAATATTCCACAGTAATGAAAATGAACAAACAACAACTGTAAGTAACATCATAAAAATAATCCAAAAATAATGCTGAATAAAAGAAATAGACATAACATAATTCCATTTATAGAAATGGAATTTCTAGAAAGTTCAAATTCCATTTATAGAAAGTTCAAAACCAGGTAAAACTAATCAATGGGGCCAGAAGTCAGGATTATGGCCACCTTTTCAAGGGATTAGTGACAGAGGCAGGGCATAAGAGAGACTTCTGGGACTGGCAATACCCTATATTTTGACCTGGAGTGATACATATTACACAAGTACATTTACTTTGAAAACATTCATATCATGCTGTATGCAAACAATTGTGTACTTTTTAAAATTAACATTATATTTCAAAGGAAATCTTTTCCAGAAAACAGCAATAATATTGGGGATGGAGACATATGAAATACTCAACCCAAGAACTACAGAAGACACCTTCTTTTCAAGCATGCATGGAACACTTTAAAAATGTTGGCCACATTCCAGGCTAAGGATCTATAACTACAACTGGCAGGACCTGATTTCAACATGGCACCTATTTTTGTATGGCCTACAAGCTAAGAATACGTTTCATTTTCTAAATGGTTGGAAAAAAAAAACAAAACATTTTACAACATGTTAAAGTTATACGAGATTTAAATTTCAGTCCATAAATAAAGTTTTATTGGAAAACAGCCACCCTCATCCACTTATATACTAATTATGTTGCTTTTGCACAATAATGACAAAGTTAGGTAG